AACCCTACATCCGTCGGTGAAGGTTGGACATCCATGCAATAAGATACGCCAAAAAGAGTTACTCAAGCAAGTGGATATGATTTTGGAAACGGTCAGACATTTTGAACCACTCACACCGCAAGGACCACTACTCCTTACAAGAAATATTGTAGGATCTTTACCTTGCTCAATGTGTGCCTCTCCTCAAACACGGGACCCCGGCTTTACATTATATCCGAGATGACGTCCCTAATCTAAGCTAGGTACTCAATTACCCCTGAGTCGAATGAGGAAATAGTTGTTAAGTGCCTTTCCCAAGGACACAACATTGGGACCGACCAGGGATTCGAACCCATAACCTTCAGATTCTGAGTCAACAACCCTAACCACAAGACCACCTTGCCACCTCTTTCTTGATGATGATGACGATCTCTATTGCTCGACTGTTGTACGGGGTACAATGTATGACAACAATAATAATGTGATCTTTATTTCTTTATTTCTTTATTTCTTTATTTGAATTCACCACATGCAAAAAACAAGTGGAAGGGAGGACAAAACAGGTGTATCAACGCCTTTACAAGTTGTCCTCCCAAACCTGAAATGATAATACAAAACAATACGGAACCAAGTCAAACAATAAACATTAGACATAAGACATCAAAAATCAGTAGACATGAAATATACAATTCGGTAAAAGTTATACAGAGAATTGATTATGTACAAAAATTATCAAATGTCATTATGTACAGATTAAAAAGCTAATTATGATACTAATGCGGCCTTAAAGCAGTGCATGAGGCACACCCACAAGATGTGGACCAGGAGCAGGGAACGTCGATATTGAACTGGGTGTCAAATCTCATAAACGTGGCTCTCACAAGCGATCGCTTGAATGTCAAGATGTTGGACATTTCAGAGGCTTGAACCCCAATATTACGGAGGACAGGACTCAGCTGATTCCAGATGGTGACCAGCCTTGGTATGTAAGAAGAGCTGAAGGCTGATGTCCTTACTCTAATGGGGGTAAGCATGTGCGATCGGAGGTATCTAGAGGGTCTGGAAGGGAAGGATACATACTTGTGAACAATTGGTTTAGACTTAATAAACACCATGACGTCGCAAACTTCACGCCTGTGCACAAGAGGCAACAGACCAAGGGTGGAGAGACGTTCCTTGTAGGTCAGGGTGTTCGAGTGGGCTCCTAGAATGAATTTAGTCGCCCGCCGTTGCACCCCCTCTACAAGGGACATGAGTTTGCGGGACTGAGGAGACCACAAAGGTGAGCAGTATTCTAAGATGCTTCTCACCAATGTGGTGTACTGTGCCTTGCGTACATCAGTGCTAGAGTTGAACCCCGACTGTTCTTTTGATGAAACCAGTCATAGAATTGGCCCTGGCTACCATCTTTAAGATATGACTGTTCCACTGAAGGTCCGACTGGACAATGACCCCAAGGTCAGGCATACTGTCTACAGATGTAATTGTAGTATCAGACATGTGATAAGAGTACACAATAGGACTCTTAGAGCGAGTTAAACGGATAAGTTTACACTTGGAAGGATGAAAAGACATCTTCCAAGTAAGACTCCAGTTGTACATAGCAGTGATGTCATTCTGCAGCTTAACACAGTCATTTAGCTTGCTGAACTTTCCCTAAAAACATTTTGAGTCGTCAGCGAAGAGTGCTACAGTGGATTGAGTTGCTGCACAAGGTAAGTCATTGATAAACAGAAGGAAGAGAAAGGGCCCAAGAATGGAGCCCTGTGGAACACCTGATGTCACCGGGAGCCATTTGGACTGGCAACCTTCCACTACGACACGCTGACGACGATCGGTTAGGTAGGAGGTAAACCACGCCAGGAGGTTACCACCGAAACCAAACATCTGAAGTTTGTGGAGTAACAAAGTGTGTGAAACGGAGTCAAACGCTTTCGCGAAGTCCAAGAATAACATGTCTACCTGCCCCCCCTTGTCGAGTATGGATCCTACTTGATGGTAGGTTTCTACAAGTTGAGTGGTGGTAGAGCGGCCGGCAATAAACCCGTGTTGGAATTCGTGAAGCGACCCTCTCAACATTGGAATCAACTGATTGTACATACAACGTTCCATCACCTTGCTTATCAGGGATAACAAGGATACTGGCCTATAATTGGCCACGTTCTCTTTGTCACCCTTCTTATGCACTGGTAGTACGTTTGCATCCTTCCATCTACTAGGTACACAACCAGCGGATAGTGATTTATTGAACAGCAAGGTCAAGGAAGGAGCAAGAGTCTTGGCACAACCCTTAAGAACATGTGCAGAGATGTTATCCGGACCCACAGCCTTACTAGTGTTGAGATTAACTAACACATTTTCCACGGATTCTACAGCAAGTAGCAAATTACACAATCTTTCATCAACTATCACGTCGATGTCGGGCTTGATAACATTAGGGTCAGGTGCAGAGAAGGTGGAGAAAAAGTAGTCATTAAACATATTGGCCTTGTCAGGTGCAGACTGAACGACCGTGCCATTGAGATGAACGTCAGTCGGAAGAGACCTGGATTTTGACTTTGCTCGTACAAAAGCCCAGAATCTCTTCGGCGACTCCTGTAAAGTGGAAGAGAGGCTAACAAGGTATTTGTTATACTTAGCTGATAACAAGTTCTTCAGTTTGTTTCTTAGTTTACGGAACTTCTCCCAGTGAGAGGGGGAGTCGGACCTCTTCGCCCTTTTCCACGCTGTCCGCTTCTTGTTCTGCAAGTTGCGTACTTCGCCGTCGATCCAAGGAGGTGATGTTGATACCTTGAGCTTCCGACTGGGCACGAACATGTCAACAGCCGACTGAACGGCTGAAGACCATGCTTCCCAGGCAGAGTCGATGTCATGGTGGTCAATAACTGACTCTGATAGCCTCAGTGACTCTAGGTGAGCACTGAGACCAAGCCAGTCAGCTCGTTTAAAGTTGTACACTTTACGAGGAAGATCCTGCCTAGTTTGGATACGACAGCGGAGAGAGAACTCGAGAACAGTGTGGTCAGTATCAAAGTCAGCGGGAAGTTCCCTGATCGTAGAGAACCTCTCTGGGAAGTCCGTAAACACAAGATCTAACAGGTTGCGAGTGGGGTTTGAAGGAACATGATTGATTTGTTTTAAAAAGTAGTTATTAATCATATTGCAAAAGTCGGCTTCCCTGCCCTCGTTTAACACTACACAATACAGTCTATTCCTAGAAACTATGACTACATAAATATGAACGTAAATGGCGTATTGACATGATGTATATTAAACATTTCTGTCTGTCACTTTGACCAAGGAAGGTTGTCTTACAAACACGAGCGGACTAGAGCCATAATCTGCCGAACCGTGACATTCCTGTACTGTACATGTACGTGCCTTGGCCGTTCACGTTGCCGGTTGACTGTGATAAACAGCCGGCTGGTGACGGGAAACACCCCCAAGTGACTTCCCCGGTCCCAGTGGCTGACATATTAGCACTAACAGTTTATTTTACCACTTAATCCTGCGTCAAGAGATGTATTATTATTATTTCGAGAGGTAAGAAAATTGATAATTTCTAAACCTTCACCGGCCTGAAAACATCACGAACGACAGTTCATCTGAATGCTATTTACTTGACTTCGACGAGCGTCATTTTGTCAAAAAAACTATGAATGAAAACATTTGTTTTAAGCACGTATTGTAGGAGGGATATCTCAAAATGTCCTTATCATGAGTTGAACCCATAAATCTTCAGTCGTAAGATCGATAATAAATTACGTCCTTAGTATACAACGTCATCTATTACTGCACAACCGTATAATCGGAATCTAGCCGAACTAATCGAAGCGAGCATCTATCTATCACAAAGAATCAGTCCGTCTTAGGAAGATAATGCTTACAGAAAGGAAATCTTAGCCCTCACCTCGTACTTAGCCTGCCTGCCAAGACGAAATACCAAGACCTTTATCCAAGTGAGGAACGTTTAAAAGGTTACACGATACAGGCTGAAGCCTTAAAGGCATACGAAACGAAAATATTCTGGATGTGGAAAACTGTCTAATATTGCTGTCATTTCTTGGCCCATTTTGATCATCATTTCATACTTGAGGCGTCAAATAGCTCCAAAATAAGCTACGCGAGGAGTCTCTTTATTTCTGGGTACCACCCATAAATAACAAGAAGCAGCCTACGATTTCAAACAAGAACCGTTTCCCGTCAGCGACATCGCATTTTTGCCTCACAGATATCAGTATGCTCTGGGGCAGGATTGAGTCAACTTACTACATTATAACTTGGATGATGACTTGGAAAATCCAGTTTTACCACCCAGAAATTACGTATACATTGGTTAAAGGTTACACGATGGAGTCGTCTGAAGCCTTAAGCGGAACTGCTCCAACATGACCGAGACATTAGCTGGTGTTGAGTGTCGCTCCGTGTAAACAGTCCCCACCTGGCAGGGCACCAGAGGCTTCAAGTTCGTGTCAAGTATTCTACCCAGACTCCATGGCACAAACCGATAACACACTGCAGCTGTTGCAAATTGCTGGATCTATTTCCGAACTGAAAAAGTAAGGTTTGTGAAGGTGGCAGGACAGAAGGAAATACTAGAGGGAAAGAAAGACGTACGTTTGATGAAAAAAGGAGGACGCGGCGTTGGGTGTGTCTTTCACAGAAAAACAACTGAATCAGCTTTGAGATAAGCATGGTGGGTTCTTTAACGTGCGTGGGGTGCGACTCTCCCTCATGTACACCTGAGTGAAGTGGGGAAAGTCGTGTAAAGTAGTTGAGTGCCTTTCCCAAGGGCACAAGATCGGTGACATGGCTGGATTCGAACCAGGACCACTTGGTTCTAAGCCGAAAACTCTGCTGCTACGCCACACGACTCCACAATCCTTAGCAATGCACAATGTAAATAAAAGTAGTTATTATTGCCAGTATTCAAGAACACGCATACCTCTGACATAAACATGTTCTAACGTTACCACAGTTCCCTTTGTGATTTTGTTAGTCGGCTTGCTACATTTGTTTCGCTAAGGTTTCAACAAATACGCTTCATTTTCCTGGAAGTTTACCTGTTGGCTGGTGGTACCTCCCTCCTCTGGATGCGGTTTTGGATGGTCTTTAGTCTCCTCCGACACAGTCACTACCTCTGCGGCCTTGGGCAGACCTTCCACGATACACTTCTCAATGTCGTCCTCTCCTGAGACCGAAGTCGCTGGGGGCGATGTTCTACCAGCGGCAACTTGCTCCGAGCCACTGGCAGTAGCCTCGTCCTTCTGCGGCTCTGTTTCGTCTTCTACAGACCCGTCTTCGACTCGAATTTCCTGTGGGATTTCCTCGTTTTCTTTCTTCAGTTCGTCTTCTTCTTCGTCTGCCACGTCTTCGGCAGATTCCTCGGCTATCCCTTCCAGTCTTGTGGGCCTGAGTTCCCGTAACCTGAGCGCTATCTCCTCCAGGATTCGCTGACGGTATGAGATCTCCTCCTCTGTACCCCCGTTCAGAGCTGAAGTCGTAATTCCGCCATAGTCGTCGTCCTCTGTTTCCATCTCTTTCCTGTACCTTTACTTTACCGGGAGATGGTCATGATTCTCCCCCCGTGCACAGATCTCGGAGGAGCCGAAATGACGCCTCGGCGGGCCCCCCTTGGTCTGAGATATTCTTCAGGCAGATGCGGTTTGCTGACGTGACGGAGGCATCATTCTTCAGGATATTTTGGTCTCCAGAGACTCCGCCCTGGCCTGGGTTCTAGGGCAGGTGTTCGGTGACAGGTACAGGCGGGGACAGTCACATGTCAACCGCCGGACAGGGTACGGAACAACTGGTGGAACCAAGAAGCTCATTGGTAAACCAACTGCACCGTGAGGTGTACAGTATCTGTCATAACCCATCAATCAACTGCACAATAGTCATAAGTTCATAACAGATAGAATACTGGCCAGGGTACAGAACAACGGTGCCATCGTACAACAGCTACGCATGGTGAGGTTTGCAGTACCTGTTACCAGTAGTTCATCACGTTGTACTATAGCCATCACAGATGGAATACGGACCAGGGTACGGAATAACTGTGCCATGGTGCAACATACAGCTATGCATCGTAAGGTCATGTTGAATTCATTATATGGATGACATGTCCGTTTAAAAAATGTATTCCTAAAATACTAATATGTAATATAACTGCGTTAAAGTAAATATATGACTCGATGTAAATACCAATATTGATGTATAATTTAGTCTTTAATGTATTTTTGTATTCTTTCCCCGGGTTAGCCCTTAGATAATAATAAATTCACTAGTTGGGCAACCCCACCCTGGCATGTTGATGCTGAACCAATAAACAAATAAATTAAAAGCTAGTTGATTATTATCTCTATCATCTCGTCCTCTAAATATATCTTAAGAACTACTAGAACTTTGCCGTTAAGAATGAAAAATATGAGTTATCTATTACCATTGCCTATTCTATTGTTAGTTAAGAAACTCTTTTTAGAAATGTATATAGACTGCTCTGTGTATAGTTGACTGTCTATGTTTCTTGTCTGTACGCTATGGGTATTATCCCGAAATAAAGAGATTCATTGCAATTGGTTCATTCATTACAAACTTGACATTGGACAGTCAAGATGGCGGATCTCTGGTCTGGTACGTACATTTCTGATGTGTCTAACCGAACACTCCGACTGCGTGTAGAACACTTCACGGTAAACAAGTGTTGTTTGTGATGCTGTCAACAACTGTTTGTGTCCATGGAGTAAGCAGGGTCACACTTTGTTCACAACAACCGATCGCTTGTACAGGCTTGGTAAGTATACAGCATAGGGCAAGCGGGAAACAAGCAACTGCATTAATAAAACTAGAGTTCCACGATCTCATACCTTCGCCAAATAATGTTAATCTTTTTGACTGACAAATTATACATTGGATAATTCCCCCCTGATTTAACAAATAATAACCTAATTTTCATGAATTATATCATTTTATCATAATCTCAACCAAAAGACAGTCTTATATTAACAAACAATGCATTCTAGTATTTCCTAATAAATTATGCAAATGAGGTCCTGATTTGAATAAATTATGTTTAATGATGTTCACCTCAACTTAACTTTCAAATACCACAAGTATGAAATTCCAGGCAGTTATCATTACATAATTATAAAATTTTCTCATTAATTATGCAAATTAAGTCATTATTAACATAATCAATATCTGCCTGTGTTTCTCTCGTTGTCAATTACCAATGTCACAAGCTTCAATTGTCTTATCATGGAATGCAGCTGATTTGTAGAATTTCCCCATAATTTATGCAAATTACATCCTATTTGCATAATTGTCACATAATTATATTAAGCATCACGTAAGCTACCTACATACCAAAAATCACGACGATCCGTCAACCGGTTCTTGAGTTATCCTCTTTTGAATATTTTCAAGAATATAACCCTGCAGTTCCAGAGCAAGCCGCTAGGGGGCCCAAACTCGCGTCACTTCTTCCCCAGCACAAGAGCTACCTACTACCCAAATTTCATCACCATAACATGTCTAGATCATGAGATATCAAAACCGGAAGTTCAGCTGCAGTACCATAACAAGCCGCTAGGGGGTCCAAAATCTAATCATTTCGAGGTCTCATCAAGAACCACCCACCTACCAAATATGAAGTCAATCCATTTAAGCGTTCTCAAGTTATCGTGTTTACAGACAGACAGACAGACAGACAGACACACACACACACACACACATACACGAACGCCACTGAAAACATAACCTTCTTGGCGAAGGTAATTATTCGGAATTATGCCCATTCAACTATATTTTTAGATTTTATGAATGTACAAAGTTCGTTCGCAACATGATGTTAGAATAAGCCTCGAAATTCAGCCATCATAGCTGCCAGGACGCTTGTGTGTACTTTGTCTCTTTGTTCTTGTAATAATAAACCATTCTAATAGCCCCTGTCACATATTCACGACCTTCCCCCGAATTTGACCCCGAACATCAACTCTAGTACAACAACAATATATTTTCTCGATTCTACAGACAAATTTGAATATATCGTTATAACTCAATAACTCCCACAAAATGAAAGGCTGTTTTATTATAATACCGAAAAAATAATCCAGAAAAAATACCGAAACTAAAGATTAGCCCCTCTGGATTGTATATTATACTAGCTCTTGTTGTTTTAGTATAATTAGGATTCTTTATTCTATACATTTTTCTATGTCCAATAGCTGTTGCTATACATTGTATATATACTTTATCTACATCAAACGTTTCTGATGCATATTGATTCAATTTTCGCGCAAAATGTGACGTACTCAACGACGTCATATGAGGGTACGGCCAACAAAATACTCGGTCAACATATCATACATATTTCATATTCACTCTCTTCTCAAAATATGTACACATACTGCTTATCCTTTCAAGAAGACAATTTGCGAGAAATGATAACTGAATAGAACGAATTCATTCCATTCTATTCACATAATATTAGAATACCCCGTAACCTAAATGAATTCGAAGTATAAGTTGACCAGCACGCTACCACCATATGCATCCGAAGTTCATTTGATAGCTCTCACCGTGTACATAGCCAGGACTAGTCGGATATACAGTGAAAATGTAATGCACAAAGGACTATATAGAAAGGGACTCACCAAAACCAAGGTCTTAACAAAGTCAGCGACGCTTGGTTTCCATAGAAGCATAGTATCTATATATATTATATCTAGTATCACGGCAACATCGTAGCAAAGCACTCACTCATAACACTTTCCGATGGGCTTTGTTAGTAAATTTGTCTGATATTGTACATGCACAAAAGACTATATAAAAGGGACTCACCAAAACCAAGGTCCAAGCACAGTTGACGACGCTAAATCAAGTTCTAAAGAAGTACAGTAAGTATAACGGCAACCTTCGCAGCAAACCTTTCACTGATAACACTTCCCTGAGGGGTTGGTTACTAAATTTGTCTGATTCTATATACTTATAAGGACTCTGTGTCCCACGCAAAAGCCCAGAGGAGATCACTGAACAGAATAACTGCGATAGTACAGCGGTGATTAGAGTGACGAGTAAAGAAACAGCAAACAGATATAGTCATTGGTTGTTTTCTCAAATCGCTCACAAGGACATGTTTTCAAAACAGATATTATAGTCAGTCGAAACTTGCTTTGACTAGGATTCAGTTTGGATAACGGCAAGATAGCAGACCTCATTTACAGAGAAGCAGTTAACTGGAATCATTTAACTGTGTGAATCTACAGAATTTAGTAGGCTCCATTTTATTTCCACAATTTGTCTGAAGAAGCCTGCAGAAACTTATTACTTAGGCAATTAGTGGTTCACCCTCGTGTGCCTGGAAACCTATAGACATATATTTTTACCTTGACTCAAACCCACATCGTCGATACACAAATCGATTTAGATTTAATGTTTAAAACTGCCTACAAAAAATCATTCAGTTTGACATAATGATCCCAGGTTAGACCATGTTGATTTGATTATATGGGCGACATCTTTAATATGGGAACCAAAAAACTGTGCGAATGTTCGCTTTATAAATTAGTGTAGTGAAAGTCGATGTACCTTCAAAATGATATCAGCACAATTTTCACACCAGTCTAAGGCAAATGTATCAGGGTCTCATAGCCTTCATGGTGAATACGTGACTAGATATGCTTAGTTGATCGGCATGCCAAGTGTTCAAGTTTCCGACGAACTAAAAAGGAGCGTGCGAAACGAAAGTGTCCAGGACCATACCACGTCACCAGTACCCGGTCAAAGGGTCACCACGAAACACATGGAGCCTTGGGAATGACTCGCTCTAATCTCCGAGCAGATCGTTTTGTGACTGCGATACATGACCATGAATTTTAATACAGTATCAAATTGTCCAGGCAGTATATAAAAACTACACTCACGTGGGCAAATGGTTACTCAAGTAGCAAATTTAATCGTCCCCGGCCCTGCCCCCGAATAAATCTACTTGGAGATTAGATTCACACGACAGAAGCACCGTCATAGTCAGAATACGGGGTTTGGGAACTGACCCCTCGTAAAGTTTGCTGCAGTACCAAGGAAATCCATCAGGGGGCCTACAACCTAATCATTTTAATAGGTCAAGACGTAACCGCATACCAAAGTATACAACAATACAGTCATGGATTGCACTGTAAACTATGTAACACCTTTAGTGCACTATGCACCAAGCAACATTTAGTGTCAGTGCACAGCAAACCAATCAGAATTGCCCTGATGAAGATGACAGACGGTCATCGAAACGTCGGCCCATGAAAAATAAATGGTTGTGACCAAAGAACTTTGCTATTCAGTCATGGATTGAGTTATGTTGTTCAACCCATAAACATTGTTACAAACTAACGTCACAAACCGGAGGTCATTCAAGTTTTTAAACCATATCTAGGATAATGTTGCAATCTGAACAGTACTAGTAAACAGTAATGTTTATTTTGGAAGAGTAGATAATAATATAACTCTACCTTTATGTTCGTGTTTTCTTTTTATATAAGTCTTTCTCAAAATACTTTAAACTTTCGAAAATGATGCCAGGTTGGCAGAACATTAGGATATTGGAATTTCTTATACACAACCAGAACTTCTCTAACATTGCTGACGTTTCAATGTCTATCATACTCTGAGGAAGGTGTCTGATAGACATCGAAACGCAAGCAAGGTGAAAGAAGTACTGGTCGTGTTAAAAAAAAAATTCCTATACTAGCATACTTAACACTACTTTGCCTCCTAAGTTTTATGTTTGAAAGTGTAACCATACATTTGAGTTGTATATTATATGTTTAGTAGAATAGTCGCATACTATACTATACTATACTATACTATACTATACTATACTATACTATACTATACTATACTATACTATACTATACTATACTATACTATACTATACAGTACCCATCCTGTTGCCCATCCTTTATTTTCATGTTACATGTACATGTGCTTGTAATTAGCGTACGGGCAAGACTTTGCAATAATAAACTTTCTATCATTACACCCACTCAGGAGCATTAGTGGTCGGCCCCCAACTGGCCGTACTGGCCTAATGCGTCAGCAGGTTGTTACACTGTCACGAACTTCAACATGAGACATCTGGACATGTACTGATCTATATCTAACACGGACAACACTGTGCACGAAAACATCATCTGGTGTAACTTTTGAACTTGCGTATTCACTAGTACTGACTACCAGAACTTTGGAAACCTTCTTACAGATGCAGCTTTATATTGTTTAAGTTAGTTCCTATGTCTCCGTTTGTTTTGCTGTGCCGCTGTGGATTAGGTACGTACGTGTACGTACTGGGTAAACGGACCTGCTTACAGTAAAAGCCTCTTCGTTAAGACAAGACAAGATAACAGATGGTGGGATTAAGAAGCCGCGCCACTAACAAACAGAACATCTCAAAGTAACGCCCCAGGAGAATCTCTACGTACCGTGCGGAACTTCTGATGACATGAACTCAGTGTAAAAGCTCTTTCATGTAGCTCACCTGACGGTAAATATAACATCTTGTAAGTTTCCTTAGAACCTTAAGGGCCCTTAAGGAACGTACCTGTCTCGAAGGTAGTCCGCGCGGACTTAAGTCCTACCAGCGGTGGCACCGAGAACGCCTGCCTGCTACTTAAACCGCGCCTGGGTAATCTTTAAGTGTTGCCGTGTCTCTTTTCTGGAAGGAGCTCGCACCCCTACGTCACAATCTTAGGAATGGCAAGCCTCCCACTTATCCAACAGCCACAGCAGGAGCGGCTCATTTGCATATTCGGGGGTCCTGACCGGGGAGCTAGTAGAGCGACGCTGCATCTGTGTGTATTTCTGTACTCTCCAAGCAGAGGTTTGGGGTTTGGCTTAGTTTTGGCATGTTTTAAGGCTTTTCTATCGGGGTTTCTTTCTTACACTGTAATTTTTACGGGTTGGCGTAAAACAAAAATCCAGTGCAATAAAGAAACCCTTATAAAAAGCCAAAAAAAAGCCCAAACCCAAACCTCTGCTTGAAAGGTAGTATTTTTGGTGCGAGCCAAATGAAACTGTGACGCACGACTGGTGACAGAGTTTCAAATAAAGCCTAAGGCATTCTTCGCCTTCCATGATTTAGAATCACACAGCATTTTATATAATTAGCGGGTTATATGCTTCAACCAATTTAAAACGTCACATGCCTGAATATCATAACACAGTTAAGTAATTCTTACATAATATAAATAGGCTGTACTTATTTAAGGCATCCAAAGTAAGCTCAGGGCAGGCTTCAGTCAATTTTCTGGTCGTTTTTTTTAATGTAGTAAGTTTTAACTACATTAAATCCTATCCCATAGCATACCTATATATCTGTGAGGCAAAATTGTAATGTCGGTGACGGAAAACGGTTGCTTGTTTAGTGTCGTAGCTGGTTCTAGCTATTTATGGGTGGTACCAAAAAATAAAGAGTCGCCTCTTGTAGCTTGCTTTGGGGGCAATTTCAAACACTTCAAGTATGAAATGATGCCGAAAATGCGCTAAGAAATGACAGTAAATGTCAATATTAGGCAGATGCCCTCACTCAGAATATTCTTTGTTTGCCGTCCTGAAATTGAACTGAATGCCTTTATAATGTAAGACACAGAAGCATTCTTAGTCATTGAGGAGTAACACGCTAACGTTACACTGCATACAGCGATGGACAAACCAACTATACACAAATGGTTCCATCAGTTAGATTTACTAGTAGATAAGCTGTGAGATAATCCATTGTTTTGGTACTGCCCGTTTAAAAGCTAAATCAAGGTCAAACAATTTAAGGCCTATACCTCCTTATAGAGGTCTGGACATACATAAATACATCCTGCAAGCTTAGCCTATTATTACCAGTCTAACGTACACAGACGCTAATTTTAGTAGAGTTACTCATAGATGTATACGTTATACCGGTGTTGCAGTACGGTAGCCTCTACCAGGCTTCGGGAGGCGGCTGGAAAGAGTAGAAATTGGCCAAATAGGGAGAGATAACATGCCGGGAGAGTTGGTCCGCCAGAGAGTACAGTTTGCCGCACCCGACAGGCTTCGGATGCCGCCTCCCGAAGCCTGGTAGAGGCTAGAAGTACAGTTCGACAATGAAAAAAGCGCCACCTATCGGAATTGATCCAACACGCATAATGTACTACAGTATCTCAGGTGGTTAGATACGAAACCATTGTGTCTTGCTCAAGTAGGATAATAGTGACTGATTGTGAGGGAAATGAACCAAAGCCCCAAGCGACATAAACATGTTTTCTGTTAAGCTTCTATGAGAGAAGACAGGCTCTACTTTAAAGAGATAAAACTTTTATTCCACTTTATAATATCTTTTCAATTCCTATGTATCTATGAGGGATAATTAACAATTATGAAAATTCATGGGTCCTTTCTTCAGCTACCCTCTTACAAAGTTTCCAACAAAACCGCCCTGCAGTTTGAAAACAAGCTGCCAGGAGGCCCAAGCTTACATGAATTCTGTTCAACTTCAAAAGCTTTTGGCCACTTGAATATCAAGACCATAGCTTGTATAAAAACTGGTGCATTAGAAGAGAAATATGTCTTCTGTAAAATATTTTTGCAACCATTATTTTATTGGTACATGTATGCAATGAGTCCTCATCAATCATCAGGTTTTTTTGGAAGCAATTCATTGATTTAAAAAATGCATGTTATTCTTCGCAAAATGCAGTAAAATTTTATATATATATATAATTTGAAAAATTCATCAAGTGATATGATTTATATGAAAACTGTACACGATTAATGCTGCATACATGTAGAATGCAAATAATATGTCATTTTACAAATTTTACATATGTGTTAAAAGATGATTGCTGGTAACAATTACTAAAATTTACCTATTTCCACTTCACATACATGTAATGGCACTGAATATGACATATTTGGAGAGGTATTAGCCATGAGTGGTAGTACCAAACATATAGATATGATCAATTTAACCTATTTTTCTTACACATGGGTGTAGAACAACATTCATTGAAGATTCTCTTTTTCTGCTCTAATTCAGCTATCATACAGCCTTAGGCTGCTATCTATTTTGACCAAATGCAATTATAAAAGTGACCATTTAGCATAAAATCAAAGTAATATTTCCACCCTACGCAGACCAATGCTGGTACCAATGGAATAGCCAAACTATTCACCATTCATTCAATCATGTTTTTGTTCATTTACTCTTTCCTTTTTCTTTCTTTCTTCCTTTTCCTCTATTCCTTTCCTCTTCTTTCTTTCTTACTTTCCCCTTCTTTCTTTTCTTCCTTCCTTCCATCTGTCTGAATGTGCAAATGGCAGACCATTACTACCATGGTTTGACTCTTTGTGGTGCATTTTTGGTGATAGCTGCCTGCATGGCTCCCATGATTCCCGGTATGCTTGAAACACCTCTCAGAACGTCTGCTGCTCCCTCCCTGTATGGAACAACAACTTCAACAAACAAACAAACAAAGTACAATGCTGAACTTTATTCCAACACAAGGGTACATAAGGATCAAATTCCCAATAACCACTGTCACCTTCATCAGGATTTTAACCTATGTACCATGCATGTGTTGGGATAAAGCTCAGCATTGTACTATGATTACTACATTGTACTATTTTTTTTTTCAACCTTTATTTAACCTTGAAATGTACAGTACATGTTGGTATCAGTACAACTCTTCGGCCTAAGCCGTTTTTCAAGAGGTCAAGGGGTTTAGAACATTACAATTCGGTGGTAATGCTGTCTTCAGTAGCCAATAGTTGATAAGATGTTTTTAAACAGGTTCTTAAACTAAGTAAAGAAAAAGATCAATTTAAAGATGATACTTTTCACACATTTCAAGCTACAAAACCAAAATATTATCTGTTCTGAGCCAATACTTTTGTAAATTGTTATCCTGATTTGCATCAAAAGAAAAAAAAAAGATTTCCACAGGGGGTAAATGTAAGATTAATGAATAAGGAGTTAGCTTAATACTGTCTCTTGCCCCTGGTGTAGGTAGAGAAATGTGTATGTACCTCATGAGTGCAGTAATAGTCTGGTCTGGGGAGGTGGACAACAGGTAGAAGATGGCTCTCAGACCCTGGTACTGCACTGCTACAATGGCAGACTGGAAGGAACAATCAAAACATACACTACATTAAGTACACTTTACTTACTGAACAAGGAGCTTTAAAAGTAGGTGCTACTTGAAATGTCTGCAGACTTTCTGTAACTTACTATCCACTGCTCACCGAGTCATGTGTCATCTGCATAATGTGACGTCACGAAAGTGGTGGATTGCTCATTCCTTGACAAAGACTTTGCACACAATCTCTGTGTTGGAAATTGCAGTTTAAACTACTTCATAATGACTTCTACCAACACATGAAATTTCAGGCTGACTAGAACACTGCAGCTGCACTATGGTAGAACGTTGGCAGAACATACTGCGCCTGCGCGAAACCCTGATTTTTAACATTTTTTTAGGGTTGTTTGGTCAACGTTGCATCACAATTTTGCCTGTCGCAGAGGATATCTTTTATAACATAACCTTTGCAAACTACAAATGGGATATTAACCTTATATACGCGAGTACAACATTATATGAGACTTTCTGCCTAAGTCCTATGCACAATACATTACAGGTTTCGTGCAGGTGCTCACTGTGGTTTGAGGAACCCACCCTGAGTGCTACCGAGATGATATCCTGTAGGTGGGACACCAGCTTGTCTGTGTTGGTGTGGAACATGGCGAAGTTGGCGATGCCTCGGCTCACGTGAGTCAGAACCTCCGTGTGCTGGGCGTGGGTCTGAAGCATGCGGCACAGACAGTCCACACACTGGTGCAGGGAGATCTGTAACAGGTCCAACACACACCACACGTTATCACATTTTTCTATTTACAGTCAAACCTGACCATGATGACCGATTTTTCTTTCTTGGTCCCATCTACGCTATATTTCTAAATGTGTGTCTGAAAAACTGTAGATCTGAAATATACTCTTGGATCAATAAATAAACTTGAAACTTGAAGATGTTGGTGTGTGGTAATAATGATAATGTTATAGATAGTATAATCTATAGTATAATCTAGCAGTATAATCTAAACACGGATAGTGAGTGTGTGTGTGAGTGATAGTAACACGCAACTGTGGCTAATTAGTGCATGCAATTAACACAACTTCATCACAAGAAATAAGCAAGATAAAACCAAATGTAAATACACATGGAGGAAAGTTAATCTAGAGCTGTCCTGTAGTCCTTGAGTTGTCCTCCCTACCTGGTCCTCTGAGTTAGTTGCCAGATTGGCCACCAGACAGGCAGCATTACTGATGACCTGCATGTTCTTAGGCTGGCTGCTCAGCACCTTGGACAGGATGTTCCCAGATGTGAAGGATTCCTGAGGGAATAATACAAGTAACCATTATACATGTACCAGGGCTCGAAATCCTTTTTCCTGCATACCTGCACTAGCCTGGTATTCAGTCTGATCGTGGTCGGGGCCGAAAGAGCTCTATCCCGCCCGCCTCACATAGGTTTCCCGGTGTGTATTTCACGAGAGATTAATTAGCCCTCCACCAAGTCCCCAAACATACTGTCTCTTATTAGTGTAACTCTCCTACCGGGACGGTCTGTTGCACTGGGCGGGGGAAGCTACATGTATTAGAGCCCCTGAAGGCACAACCTGCCCGAACACCCTAATACCCCCAATCACGTAAGACTGGATACCAGGCTATACCTGCACTGGTACAGGTAACATTGAAAATTATCTGCACCAGACAAATTTGACCTGCTATTTCAAAGGACAAGTAAAGTAATTTCAGTTTTGGTGCTTTTGAACCCCAAATCCTGTTTGCAAAATGTGATTCATTGGTTTATACTGGTGATATTTGACCCAAATCTGTGTTCACGTTTGATGCCTATTCCACCAGGAGGCAGCAGTGAGGTAGGCTGTCCACTTAATTTATTCAGTCTATAGTACATGTATACCTTTTGGATAAGATACATGTATGACAAATGTCCTGGAGAGCATGCGCGCTTGGGGACAACCAGTAGGGGGCAGTATTGCAACAGTGACATCCAAACAAGAAGAAAGCACTGTTAAATGAATTATAAGCAGCTGTTCTTGTTATGTTCAGTGGCTGACTAATGTGTAAGTATGACATCTTTCCCACCTGTATTATTCTGTGTCGGTGCCAGTCTGTGCCCAGTGCCAGTTGATTGAGAGCCTTCAGGGCAACTTCCTGCATCTGTGGTGGAAACAGAAGAACCAACAACAGCAGTGACCACATGTATGTACATGATTGTATATATCCAACTCCTGTACATTTGGGACCGCATTGTAGATACAGTTCCCTGTAACCATGTATACCGGTATGTGTAGATATGTAAATATTGTACTTTTGGGAATGCATCTATAGCACCTGTGCTGTGCAATGTAAATCAGTCAGGATTGCCCTGACGGTCACTGAAATGTCGGCTGTGAATAAAACACTTGGTTGTGAAAAAAGAGTCTCTTTACTTGGTGACTTACCAACCTGATGAAACTATTCACTGGACTGTGTAACAAATGATGTTCCGTCCTATGGACTGTAGCCCTTTCTAGTAGCATGCATGTCAGTTGAGCTACACAGCCAGGATTCGAACTCACAACCTCTTGATCTAAAGTAGTACTGGACTATACAATTGCTACATGTGCAAAGCAAAAGCTTATTACCTGCTCATCCTCTGATGTGGTCAACTTCAGCAAGGAAGGAAGGGCCTTCTTGTCATTCTGAGGGAAACAAAGTTAAGTAGAACTGCTGTGAGAAAAACACACTCATTTATGGATATCTAATGACTTACCAACACTCATGATCAATGGCAAAAGTAGTGTTCTAGCAAGTACTCATCTTTCCATACTTTGACGAAATTTTGCCGCTCTTGCACATGACAGACAAAAATCTTACACAATCCGTTATTTTTGATGGGCAAAAATTGGCATGTAAAGATACAGAAAGAGATGTCATTTAACGAAGATTAGTCTCCCTGGCCAGTAAAATTTGTCACTAGAAAAGCAGGAAATACTGGTAGTGTTTCAGAGGGTCAAGATTTAAAAAAATTTCCCGACAGAGCTCTACAAAATGTTACATCTTACAAAATTGAGATGGCAATCCTTCCCGATGTGAGTGGTTCAAACCTTACAGTCCGGTCTTACGCAGCTTGTACTTACATTGTACATGTACAGAACTGGTGTGTTACGCCTGAAGGGGGTTTACTGGTTATGTTGTGACATTTCATGCCATAGATAAATTTAATTTCATCCTAGTAAGCAATAACCCTTACTGTGTACAAATAGGTACTAAATATATCAAAGAATGTTTAGACCTTAGAACAAGTAGTATTAGTTGACCCATCTATTGTTTTGTACGTAGGATAATTTCATTGTACCCATGTATATTTGTCTGTATATCTACATGTCTTAGACCTTACGAAAGTCGCTGTACTTTTTGTTGTGTCAATAAAGTTCTTCTGTGAAACAAACAAATCAAGAAACAAAGAAATGTGTGAGAAAACTACCTCAATAGCAGCTGCATGGTTCTCATGGTGTTCTAACATCAGATTCAGAGTCATGACAGCCAGCAGTGCTATAGTCTTCTGCATGTTACACAGGCCTAATACAGGCTTCAGGGCTCCTGAGGACATGGCTGCAAATACACAAGCAATAGAAAAACACTTTTGTTTGAAGCACTATTTCTACTAAGAATGAATATTTTACTATGAAGTATATCTTATGAAAGTAAAGTACAATCCTGACACTCCAGATTACATAACTTTGTTTTGTTACCAGTGATATATTACATTGTAGCTGGTGTGTTATGCTGAAGGGTAGTTATACCAGCTGTACAGATACAGAACAAAAGCAAAAAGAAGAAAACCAAGAATTAAGAAGGGGCAAATGTCACCCCATTCATTTTGGCCGCTCTTTTGTACTTTGTACTGGTTATGCAGTAAAGAAAAGACTACGTAACCATATCAAGATGAAACAAATTTACATGTACATGTATGTAACCTATAGTAAACAGATGAATGCAGGAAAGACATGCCTTACCGAGAGTCCTGAGCTCAGGTGATTTACAGAAGATCATGAGCGCACTGATGGCTTCTACAAGAGTCTGTTCTACTGTCTCCTCAGATAAGATACTAAAAAAAACAAAGAAAGGAGTGTCTTTTCAGAGTCATGCTAAGAACAAGAGTCTGTTTTATTAGTAAAGTCTCCTTGGAAATAAAGATGCTGGAAACAAAGAATTTTCAGAGTCTCTTTTCAGATTCATGCTTAATTAAAACAAGAGCCTGTTCTACTAAGTCATGTCTTCTCGGAAAAGGTGCTGGAAACAAAGAAAGAGGTCTCTTTTCATATTCATGCTTAGCACAGACTGAGAAAGACATCTAGGGTGTGCCACAGGAAAACCGATGCACTGTGCGTGCAGTGGTGGCCCGGTTTAGAAGTTGAAAAATCTGTTGCACAACATGTCGTTTGACACAGGGGAAATGATATTTTTTGCCCCAGGTTAATTGGACTTAGAGGCAAATGTATTAGCAGGATTCTGTATCAAGTTTTTGATTGTACACTTGTGACTGATGATAAAATGTGAGAAAACATATGACAATACTACATGACTCAGAGAATGAACTAGCTACAAAATTGATATTGTCGCACAAAGAATCCGTGACATTATAGAAAACACCTTGACCTGCAGATGGCTTTGACTGCCCCTGTAGCTGCCAGTGCCATGTGGACTGTTGGGTACCGAGACATGGTGTGTAAGGCTGAGGCCAACTGGGCCTACAGAACAATAAAGAAGAAACTTAATGTACGAGTAAAAGTTAAAGGTGTAATGGATAATAACGGCATTTAGTCTACTTTTATAGGCATCCAAAGCAATTTCAGAGCAGCAAAACTAGATTTTCAACATCATTCTGGCCATTTTTGTAAAGTAGTAAGTTGAATCAATCCTATCCCATACTGATGCATGTTGTACATTGTATCTGTGGTATAAAATGCAATGATGGAAAAGAGTTGCTTGTTTTGTATCATATGAAATGATGCGGAAAATGTGCTTATTATTGATAGTGGCGTCTGTGTGGTGTAGGGGATAGAACATCCGACTGTCAAACAAGGAGACCCAGGTTCAATCCCCAGGGCTGGACCCAGACATGTCCGGACATGCACCCAGACGTTGTGCCCTTAGGAAAGGCACTTAACACGCATTTCCCCCCTCAGTTAGAGGGTTCCTGGGCCCTACTAGGGTTTGGGTTTGCGTTAGGAAGGGCATCCAGCCATAAAAATCTTGCTGCAACAAAAAGACTGGGGTTTGGGGAAAAATGACGTTAAGACCTCTTCATGTGCAGATTTTACTTACCCTAACTTCATCACTCTCCGACACACAGGTAAGAAACACAACAGTCTGCAGTCCGCCTAACTCTATGACCTGGAATTCAGATGAAACAGTTATCAATCATGTTAAACTACATACCTGTTAACAGTTATTAATATGTTAAACTACATACCTGTCACCCCTCAAAGAAATAAACCGATCCTACCAGCTCTGTCAAAACTTAAAAATGCAAAACAAATATATAAACAAGTATAGAAATGTTTACACCAATCCATGGCAATTGATTGTCAAATGACAGCTAAAGGCTCAATTCATCAGCAAATTACTGTGGTTAGTTTTGACTAACTGTATTTTATCTTTTATTTGTAATGTATTAGTATATTGCCTCAAAGACTATGCAACATGCAGCACAATTGTTAGTATTAGTAATTCTTATCAGGTATTGCCAACATTAATTCATTTATTTCAAACAACAACAGTGTCTAACTTAACAAATTCGATGGATGTCACTGGAAACGTCCGTAATTTATCCAGAGGTAGAGTTTGAATTTCCTAATAAAAAGTATGTGAAATTTGAGGGAAGGTTGTGAATGTGTGACAGTGGCCTAAGGCAGCAGAAGCTTCCTTAGCCCCTGCAATATGCATGATGGCAGACCTTCCCTATCCTGTCAGGATTCCTCACAGCTTCTGCTATCCCCTGTGCAGACTGGAGCTGGAACTTCTGCATAAAGAGTTGCCAAACAACACAGAAAAAACATTCAACTAAAGTAACATTTGCAGTGGAAATGCATAATGTTTACCTTCAGACATGGTCTGCTCTGTTAATTCTTACTCAAACACATTCACATACATGTACTACTAGTATGTGGTGACAAGAGCAGAGCAGACCATGAAATTGCAACATTATGTAACCCAACACCAGTCACCAGATGTCAACAAATCATGTCATTGGTCAGGTCAGAGGTCACTGTTTGGAGAAGAAGAAGAAACTGAGCAGAAACAATATGTTTTCCTTCGGTAAACATAACTATCCTTACTCTGCCTGTCTACAGTCTGTCTATAGGGCATACTGAATGGTTAATCATTACAAGAGACATTAAACATTATCTAAGTATCTGTGAGGGCTTGCAAACAGGTTTCTATAATACTGTAAAGTAGCTTATAGAACAGTTAAGGTTGATTCACCAAATTATTGCATTAGAAGGATGTGGCTTTCTAGGTATGCACTGTGCCTCTTATGATATAGCAAGAAATGTATCAATAATACATGTACAATACATCACTTTGAAGTTTGATGCACCAAGTAGTGCAGGTAAAATTGGAGCTGTGCAGGTATTTCTGATGTCTACCTGCACCTAACCTGCACTGGTCCATGTACTGGGTATATACAGGTTAGTGCAGGTACAATTGGAGCTGTGCAGGCATTTTTGATGTCTACATGTACCTGCACCTAACCTGCACTGGTTCATGTACTGGGTATATGCAGGTTAGTGCAGGTAAAATTGGAGCTGTGCAGGTATTTCCGATGTCTACCTGCACCTAACCTGCATTGGTCCATGTACTGGGTTTACATGTTACATTTCAGGTATGCAGAAAAAAAAGTATTTCGAGCCCTGTGTCTAGGAAAGCAGATTAGATATGGGATCTGCATCATATAACTAGAAAAGTAACATTTGCTTAATAAGCAAGTACATATTGTCTGCTCTGTTAATGCTTACTCAAACACATTGACATACATGTATATGGTGACAGGAGTCTAAATGCCTACTATGAAATTGCAACATTATGTAACCCAACACCAGTTACTATGGTGACAGACGTCAACAAAAGACACCATTGGCCAGGTCAGAGGTTAGTGTTTGGAACAGAAGAAGAAGAAATGAAGCAAAAACAATGTTTTCCTTCGGTAAACATAATAACTGTATGATCTCTAAGACTGACCATGAGAGGTGAGCGTGACATGGTGACCAGTTCAGTGACAGGTTTGCAGTCCTCACACACACGTTCTGGGTCATCTAACTGTAGCTGGGGCATCGGCACCTGGGAGTACAGCAACAAGGGAATAATGACTACTAGAATCATGAAAGTTCATCTGTGTTGGTACAATGGTAGTACTAGTACATGTCAAAGTTGAAACTTTAAAATTTGTTCCAACACAAAGAATGGTTCTATCTTTGAGTTTACAACTAGTTACTCTGGTCTTCCCATGGTCTATTAAGGAAGACCAGAGTGACTGGTCGAAAGCTCTACATGCCCGTAGCCAGGATTTTGAATGGGGGGGTTCTCCCCACTGCTTGAGTGGACCTCGAGTGCCGTAGGCGCGAGGCGAGCGCCGAAGGCGCGAGGTTCCTAGGGGGGTCCGGGGGCATGCTCCCCCGGAAAATTTTGAAAAATGAACCTTCTAAAATGGCATTTCGTGCATTTTTGAGAGGATTTTCAAGAGAAAATCAGAGATAAATTTTTATTCAATGACAACAGCAGTTTTTCTACGATTCCAGTCCATCTTTTCAAGAAAAATCTTGGACCTTAACATAAAATGTGGACCAAAAAGTGGACCTTTACAGAAAATGTGGACCAAAAAGTGGACCTTTACATAAAAAGTGGACCAAAAAGTGGACCTTTGAGCCTTGTGGGGGGGTTCTTCCGAACCCCCGAACCCCCCCTGGCTACGGGCATGCTCTAGGTGAGAACAATTCTTTGTGTTGGAACAAAAGTTTTAACTTTGAACAAGGAAAATAATGACTGAATGCATGAATGTGAGTGAGTGAATGAATGAATGAATGGATGAATGAAAGAATGAATGAATGGAGAGATGAAAGAATACCCTGACTAAGTTACTAGTATTTATAAGTAATTAGGTCACAGCAATTGAGCAAAGGAATAGTTTGTGTATACATGTAACCGTTATACACACACATGACCAAGCTAGCACTATTAGTCACTAAGTTAACAGTAGGAAAACATTTAGTACAAATATCATACAAATGTACATAAACAAATAGCGCATCAGACCTTATCCTTGCAGCACTTGCTGCACAGCACCCTGCCACATTGCCTACAGTGGTGTTTCCTCCGGATCTGGTTAAACTTGTTGTTACACAAACAGCACACAGCGGCTTCATTGTCCTCCACCCACCTGTATGTTAACACACACACACGTGCCGCTCAAGTGTTAAACCTGCACCTTTAGTCACAGAGACAATGGTTATTGTTTTAGGAATGGATATTGTTACAGTACCTATTGTTAGAAGCAAAAGGTCGCCATGGGGCTTCAATGACAAGCTGCAAACATTTTTTCAAGGCACAAAATACAATTTCGGGGTGGCAAAACAGGATTTTTAAAGTCAATTTTTTGGTTATTCTAGTAAAAATGAATAAATCCTATTGACAGCATACTGATATCTATGACTATATGAGCCAAAATGTGAAAACAGTTGTTTTGTAATGTTAGGTTGGTTCTCGCAATTTATATGTGGTATCCATTAAAAATAAAGAGACACCTGACATAACATGATTGTTTTGAGGTTTGATATTTTAAACGCCATAAGCATGAAATGATGACAAAAATGCCCTAAGAAATGGCAGTTAATGTCATATCTGACAGATTTCCTTTAGCTGCCCTGGAATTGCAAGTTGGATGCCTTTTCAGGCACAAGGCCGGATATAAATTATAACGGTCCCTTGGGGAAAATAAAATTATAAACGTTTGCACAGAAGTCTACGTAGCTATTTTCCCCTGAATTCAAGTTGCTGGTACGATCCTGTCGCTTGAGTTAACGTTTTATCAACTCAAACTTCCTTGCCAAAAATTTCACTCCAAAGGATTCGGAAGTAGCACCGTTACTAGTATGTCGTAGTGCCAACAAAAATAGGATGACCCTTTGCTGACCTGTATGCAAATATTGACTTCGTTTTTTTTTTTGGGTGTGCAATAAGGCAATCAAAGTATCCAGTATAATCAAATTTACACAAATAAGAGTGCTTTAGTCTAAGAAACAATCTGTTTTTAAGGGAAAAGTCCCATACATAATTTTGCGTCGTCTGCAAGTTGCAAGAAAATTCTTCACGCCCACCTTGCCTTCTGAAGAATGAACGGTTTCGTCATGAAAACATCTTGGGAGCCCTCCACCTTCGCCAGCCTAACCTCCCGACCGTCCAGGTTTATAATATCGACACCCTCCATAGTACAAGTGGTCTAGAATTGCACGTTAATCGAAAGTTTGGCAAGATTCACGACTTCAAGTTTTCTTGAGCCGCCATATTGTTTTTTCTAGACGCGAAGATTTCGTGACGTGTGCAAACATATCCCAGCGTGCAACAGTAAAAGTAAACTTTGCCAACTTTTTCTTTACGGTCCTTATATTGTATCAAGGACTGTGTCCATCTAGATAACTCTTATATGTTTGAATTGGTTAGGGTTAGAATCAGAACAGGAGATAGTGATTCGAATTTTTGATCACTTAGGACATGGGATCCATGCTTAGGCCACAGCAAGTAATTTTTATGGATGACATCAGCGCACGTATTAATTTTCGCCTGCTTTTGGGGAAAACAAATTTAGTAACATGCCGAAAATGGGCAAAGATATCTGTTGCCATGACGTGGATGGCAGATAAATATGAAAAGAGGAGACAAGACAAGGCTCTGATTTAATATTTTATCTTTTACTTCGGTGCAGTGATGTGCTTCATCCCTTATATTATGTGATATTGCCACTGAATCAAAGCCATTTATGCAATGATTGACAACTTTTATTTTTCAGTGACAAATGGATGTTGTGATAGCTGGCAGTAATCTGAGCACAATATAGGTATCATTTCGTGTTTAACAAGGTTTATGATGTCAAAATATGAACATGTAACTTAAATGTAAGAATCTTTTTCTTTTGACCCGCTTGTTTTTCTTTTGCCCTATCGCATTAGATTTGGAGTCTGCAAAGAATGTCATCTATAAAATTTACTTGCAGTGGCCTTACAGAAATGCGCCAAAGGCTCGATAGCTGGCGTGCTTCCGATTCGCCGTTGGATGCTTTAACTAGTTCATCTGTAAATATTCGTAAATTATATAAAAGTAACAATTCAGTGGCAGTGAAACCCACACATTTTTTATTCTAATGACAAATCTGTTATACATAACAATATATATGTCACTCAAATGACATGATAAACATTGGTTGTATTCTATAGATAGAGTCTATCCGAATATAAACATAGATTTTCAGTCTCTAACAAGAAATACATGTACAAGGCATTAACCTTGTTACCATTGATATATACATTATATATACACAAATATATAACACTTCCGATTATACAAAAATATACACACCAGTTCACTTCCTATATTACTTCTCTGATCAACGCCTGTTATACATACAGATGTTATCAAGTCCAAAGGGTTTAGATATAACGTTAACCTTTTATCATGGTTCTACATGACAATCTGTTACATTTTGTACCATACAGATATAGTGATATATACAAAACATATATTTAATATGATCGTCCAAAAGCTTCAACATTACAATAACTAGATATTAAATTTTCAACAAGCTGACTCAAATACATGTTGAACAATTCTGAAACAAATCGAGGAATCAAACTTATGATCCTCAGTGACGTTACAAAACATCTAAACGCAAACGACCAGAATACTATCTAAACATGACAGTGAAGACTTTTTTGAACGTTGGTGAAAATATCTACGGCAGTTGGTATTCAGGAAATAACCATTTATATCAGTGCACGCAGTTGAATGGGTGAATTTTCCAAGAAATACTGAAAGGCGTGAGGTAACCAGTTAAGAAATAGGAGATGATTCTTGTTAGCGTTTTGCTGCGATGAAAGAACAAAGATGGCGGTTTGCAGGTAAGACACACAAGTTTGGGCATCAACAGTTGACACAACAAAGTTTACATTTGGTACAGAAACTAATGACACATGACAATAGACTCCGTACTTCCGACTGAAGCACTGGACGATACTGAGAAGGTATGTGTGGACATTTTCAAGAGCAGAAGCCGTCTGCAAAATGAACAGGATTTTTTAAACATTCCTTCTCCTTTGTTCCCTATTTCTGGCATACGAACCCCATAAAACGATACACATTGAACTGATACAGGCATAAATATATACACACGATCAAACAAATAACAAAGCTGGTAGCTGATCTTGAGGAGAGGACCAAAGCTAACAAGACTGGATTTCAGGCTAGTATTGGAGCAATTTGAGAGCCATTATGTTGCTCTATTAGTATCAGTAGTCCTGTTTGTACTACAAACATGTATAACAGTGACTTGTTGGTGGCAGGTAATTTTCGTAACACGAAACGAAGGCTATAGCTCATTCTAAACTCGTTTTTAACTCTTTTAGAACAAGTAGTTTTAATAAATGTCAAAATTTTCCTGAAAAATTTCGAGATTTTTCTAGTAGCTATAAAAATCCCGATATTTTTCTAAAGAATATAAGAAAATCTCGAAATTTTTCTAAAAAAGTTTCGAGATTTTCTTTTCAATATTTGGAAATTTTTCGGAAAAATTTCG